ATCACAGGTGTGCGCCACCACACCTGGCTATCTCCCCATTTTAGACCATGCACTTGACAAACACATGGAATACTACAAAGGAGCGAGAATTTAAATGAAGCTACAAACTTCACGTAAACAGGACTTGCCTTTACCTAGCGGTGCCACAAGCCAGATACTAATGGGCTTCCTGTGTCTGCTCTGAAGAGCTGAGGTCTGCACCGCATGGAGCTGTACAAACAAAGTCATTGTGTCCTGAACCAGTCCAGGATCTGTTTACTGACTTTCCAGGGCAGATGCAGATAAGTGGCTGACTCAACAAATACACCCCTCAAAGGGAAAGATTTTAAGCAAACCACTTTCTATCCAATTTGTACTTTAAATGCAGAATTCTAGATTTCATGAATTGTCCAGCAGTGTTACCCACGAAGGTCATAGGCAGGAGTGGAGAAATTGTGTGATGCGTATCCAAATATGTTTTTTTATTGTCTTTTTTTTTAAGTTCAATATGATTTTATTTAATTTTTTGGTCTTTTTGAGACAGGGTCTCACTATGCAGTTCAGGCTGGCCTTGAGCTCACTTTGTAACCCAGGCTGCTCTCGACTCACAACGATCCTCCTGCCTCAGCCTTCCGAGCACTGGGATTACAGGCGTGTGTCACAATGCCTGGCCCAAATATGTTGTTTAACAACATTGTTAATGTTAAATAAAGCAAAGCAAAGCATTAAAAATGTGCAAAACTCAGCCCTAAACAAATGAACACACGTTTATCAATTCCTTTATAACATGCGGCAGGCAAGATGACTTAAAGTAATTTTCGTTAGGTGTATTCATTCAGTTATTTATTTTTATTTTGGGGTTTTTTTTTCTGAGACAGTCTCTTGCTGGTGGTGGTGGTGCACACCTATAATCCCAGCACTCAGGAGGCTGAAGCAGGAGGATCATTGCAAATTCGAGACCAGCCTGCGCTACAAAGTGAGCTCAAGGGCAACCTGAACTGCACAGTGAGACCCTGTCTCAAATAGACAAAAACCAACCAACCAACCAACCAACAAAAACCAAAACAGTGTCTCACTATGTAGTCCAGGGTGGCCTTGAACTCCCTACATAGCCCAGGCTGGCCTCAAACTCCTGGCGATCCTCCTGCCTCAGCCTCCTGAGTGCTCAGATCACAGGTGTGTATCACCACTCCTGGCTATGCCATGTTTAAATTGTGGAAACGAAGGTCCTAAGAAACTGACTGGTTTTAATTTCTCATCCTGCAGCTGAGATTACCTAAACTCTCCTATAGCTATAACCCTGTAACTGAAGGAGCTATTGAGTAACAGTCCTGTAAAAACTATCTAGCAGCATTCAGAACCTGATTTTCTGATATGCCAAACAAGTTTTTCCAAATTCTTTTCACGGATGGTGCAGCGATAGAGGAAACTGCAGAACCACCCCTCCAGCAGATCGAGGGCTAAGATAGCCCAGCCACAGTAGCTCCAGTTATGCTACTGTCCAACCAGTCCCGGGAGAACGCAAAGAATGTGACCCAGAGAACACGTAAAAACGCACATTTTGGTTTCTTCTGGAGGAAGAGACTCCAGTATCTTCACCTGAAAGTATTTTAGGGTTAGTTAAGACTGTTTGCTTCGGGGCTGGGGATGGAGCTCAGCGACTCAGCGCCTGCCTGTAAGCACGAGGTTGTGAGTTTGATTCCTGATACCAAAAAAAAAGAAAAAATGAGAGAGACTGTGTGCTTTAAAAGTACCTACCGTTTGATTATGAGGCACTTTGATGAGAGACGAATGCTCCTTACACTCTTTGGAAGTTCTGTTGTCTGCTGCAGTTGTATTTGTATCCACCATTTCCACTAACGCCACGCTCAGGTTCACCCGTAACGCATAGAGAACGAAGAAACCGAAACAGGA